TTCAGTTATTTTTTTGTAATGTAAAACTATTATTTGTGGTTACTTGAAAGTACCTGATTTTGGTTGGATTTAAATGTGAATCTGKCGAATTTTAGAAACTCCCTGTATAAACACACAGTCATATTAAAATACAATGTTTTTAGCAAAAGTTAATKTAACCTACAGTATTAACTATTAATGTATTATTAATAGTAACATAATTTACTGTCTTTGCTCGGAATCGTTTTTCGTATGTAATGATTYATCATTTAAAATTTAAATTTAACATTTCCATCGTGACTATCAGGTCATATGCCTTATTAATAGATCATCAATCTATGATCTTAAAATAGTTCATACCTCAATAATTGGCAAAATAAATCGTAAAAATAGATGTACATATTTAAAGTTGTATTTAAATACACATTGATTAATGCAAAATATTATTACTGTAACCAGAAAAATCATAATCTTAATTATATGAATAATTTTAAAATTAAAATTGCATTTATACCACTGTTTAGATTTCATTTGGATTTCCAAACCAGTTGACTAAAGTCTTTATCACAATATTATCATTCACGTTTCAGGTGACCAAAATATCAGAACATTTTTTTGAGATAAATAAATATAAGCTCATTAATACCATTACCATTACTATAAGGATACGAAAAAAAAGAAACAATATTTTGTTTATGTAGACAATTTTTATAATGTATAGAAGGTGAATAAAATATAATACTCCTACATTACATTAATTTAAATATATGGTTTATTGGTTGAGCTTTAGGGATTTAGAATAGACAAAAAACGAGAAGTATAAAACCATTTTAAATAGAAGTTTTGAATTCTTATGGGCCGAGTTCGCCCAACGGTCTGTACCGGGGATTTAAAATATTGAAGGCAAGTGTCTGTAATGAATAAAAAAAAAATGGTTTTAAGTTTAAACAAATGACGTACAAAGATATTTACACTATTATGTCTTTCGTCGTGTAAATCAATTTTAATATACTGATAAATGTTTTATTAATTGTTTAATTTATTGAGGCATGAAAATTGAATGTGGCCTATAGTTCCTATTTTACAAACGAAATGTATAGGTATCACTAAAATAATTAAACTGTAATAGTATAATCTCAATAATCATAACTATATAGCAACAACTACCTATTAAGTTATATTTTTTTACATAAATCTTGAATTATGTTTGAAAAATAAAAACCCCTTTTAAAATATGGATAGGCAATAGGATATGGTCTTGATATGGATCTACGAGGTTACTTGCCTTATCTGGATTGATAAGTGGTCATTGGCAAATCGCAAAATATGATCATCATTCTCTATTGACCAATACCTATAGTACCCACTACCCGTGACTAAAAAGATTATTTTTTCATGACACAGACAGTCGGTCTGGACGGGGTATGGATAGACGTACGACTCATGTTAATTAAAAAATAAATTAATAATAAGCCATTTAGCCACTGCCCATTAGTTCTATATTTTATAGATAAAAAAAAGTATTTAGTTCGTTGTGTGAACATTCCAACGCAGTGCTTACTTAAATTTTTAGTTACCTACTCTATAGTTCTCTGTTGGCGTCGTTAATTGTAAGCGACTGTTCATTATRGTCTTTATCCTTTGGGGTGATCATAATATTATTTAATAAAAATATTACATTCATTTTTAATTTTTGTATCACGCTCATTTCTTGCGATTGAGTGATTTTTATATACCGGTTATGTCGTCGTCTACATTAGTGAAAATGGTGAAGTTCAACAATGGCCTACAGTGTCCAATCTTAGGCTTGGGAACATGGCAGGTAATGTAAAATGCTGTTAAACTATTTATAGATTAATTTTTTTTTTCTATTTATTAAGGTTATTATAGGTACTAAGTCAAGTTTGTTTCAAATCTTATTTGAGAATAAACTATTTACATTTGAGTATATCTATTAGAAAATATTTGTTATCCAAGTGGCTATTTTTATAATACCCATATGAATATTTTGAGTTGTAATATTAATAATTTTTACTTTTTAGACCACACCTGATATAAAAGAATCTGAACAGACAGAGATTTACGATGCAGTAAAAAGTGCAATTGATATAGGATATCGTCATTTTGATTGTGCATCTTTTTACAATAATGAAAATTCCATAGGAAAGGCTATTGCTGAAAAAATTAAAGAAGGAATCATAAAAAGAGAAGATTTATATATTACTAGTAAGGTACGTATATTAAATTAAATACAATGTTATGAAATTATTTAATTTGTTGGTGCTTATTAAAAACATTTTATTGATTTTTACCAATTAATTAAAACCATAACTACTGAA